ATATATTTGAAGAAGAAAATCCAAGATCAAACATTAACATGCATTTCTAAAGCCAACTGAGTGAAAAGAGACAACTTTTTGTCCTCTTTGACTTTGACACTATTGTATACAATAGTTATTTATCATCATATGAAGAATACACAGAAAAAAGGAGTTGATCAATGACCTCCATCTGGGGACGACTGTCAAAGCTCATAAATATGTTTAATAGGGAGATATTAAAACATTGACATGCACAAATTAAACCTAAATTACTGGTAGCACTATTTCTGGCCAAACATTTCGGTAACTGTAAAGCGGTGCACATAGGCAGCAGTATTATCTCTAATATAAAGCCTCAATTAGCTTAAGTGAGAGCAAAATGGCTGATAATTATTGCACCAGCTCATTAGACTTGTTCTGACACTAAAACCACTTAAATCACCACACAGACATAAACACCAGCACAGAGGCAAACACACACATGCAGATGTTAGAGTTTATTCCCATCGTAATGAGGCAGATACTGTGCAGGTTGGGTTTTTACATGTTTAGTGGAAAAACTAAACACTTCAAACTTGACTTAATAGGGTCTCACCATTACATAAGCTAATTAGAAATCGGTACATGGATGGCAATTTTACTAAACGATAATAAAAAGTAAAAACAAATGGCAAAGGAGCGTCAGGGCGTGTGCTGTTGTGCACTTCAGGTTTAGTTACAGACATTTCTTTAACTTCATAAGCGAGACCAAGGTAGAACAAATTTTTTTTTAGTCTTGATCAAATATAATGTGATCATTTAGAAGTCAATAACAAAGTCACTCAAGTCAAAAGACATATTATGGAAATATGATCTATAAAATAGCGACGAACACCAAAGCAAGGTATTTGCTGTACCAGCAATAGATCTTGGCTAATAATGATGCAGGCTCCTATAGAATAAAATCCTTGGGGCCAGTCATGAAAGTTTAAGATTCAATGCGGTAAAATACAATGTGCTGTAAAATATTAATGTGTGTGGTAAAATTATGCTGGGGGTAATATTTTAGATTGCCTCTGTCTGTAAAAAAGACGTATCTGTATTTATTTACAAGCAGGGATAGTGGATGGGGGGCTTTGTTTGAAGCCATGTTTATGAATATTGACTCTGGCTCCTTGGTAAGTGGCTATAAATCTGCGAGAGGATCTTTGTAAAGTTCCCTTGGAGGACATAACTTCAGGTCTAACCGTCTCCTTCCTTCACTTGACTTTTAAACATTTGGATATAGCCTGGCCAACTACATTTAGAGCTGCTTCTAAATTATGAAAGCTTCCACTTTGATAGTCCAAGTGCTAACCAATCAAAGTTGATAAATTGCGGCAATAGATTTATCTAGGACAGAAACACAGGTGCGTTTAGCCCTTGATCTGGAGTGTTTATGAGTTTGGGAATTAAAAAAATAAAAAATGGATCTCTGCATATCTAGCTATGTTCCAAACACTGACTTAGATGCCTTTAAAGCTTTGAGATTCCCACCATCTACCCACACTTCCTGAAATATACTTACGCCAGATACTGACAAGTATGCATGTATCATCTGACTTTACAGCCAGATCTTTCAGTGCTAGTCTCTGATGAAAAGTGTGAACAACTTGAAGAGCATGACCTGTGCTGATAGGAGAAGCATTACTCCTGTGATCAAAAAGTAAAGATCATACATCACGTCGCTCATATCACCCGAGGCTATTGGGACCAGCTGGAAAAGTTCTATAGGTCCGCACTGTAAGAACCTTTTGCGAATGACTCATTTACACCTTCGTTTTTCTTCTTTACCCCATGTTTGACATGTTTATCTATTTATTTTCTTTCAAAGTTCCAAAGTTCAGATCACAGAGGTGATTGCATTAGCAATATTGCAGCCGCTGGCTGGCCTGGAGATGATGGACACAGAGGTCCGTATCCTCCGGCTACCATGATTACATAGGAGCAAGGATTAAGAGATCTGATTTCTTTCCCGGTTGAGTTCAAAGGGCTCAATCAAAGTGTTTCACTGTTGAACCCATGCCCCTTGCTTTCGATGCATAATTAACTGACAAGTGGTGATAAGGTTAGGCCTTGCAAAAAAACCAATTTTTGCTTTTATTCTGCCGGGTGATGAATGCAACAACAGTTGATGTCACTGTGCACTAAATAATGACTGGAAAGCTTCATTGATTCAACCATCTAATTCCAAGAAAACAGCTTCGTCCTGCATTAAATTGGAGAAAACTGACATCCCTCTATTAAAGCCCCATTTCTCTCTCTCAGTCGCCTCCATTTCTTTCTCCACTTTTTTTCTCCTCCATTTCCATTTCTTTCTCACTTTGTGCCTCCTGCTTCCACAAGGCTTATCCTCAAGGCCTATCCGTTTATGTAGAACCTCAACTATCTCTCTCTTGCCATTCTGTCCCTGACGCTAGCTGACACTAGGTATCAGTTCACACCCCGAACACACAAAGAGAGGTGCTAAACAAGGACTTCAGGACATGTCACAGCACACTTAAAGGGCTTCACAGTAATACAGAAGGAGTCCACATGTGACACAGTGAACAGAACACATTCACTCAAGTGAATGCCGCACAATGCACACAAGCTACATGTTTATTTTGTTTTAGCATAAAACAGTGGTATATTAAATTAATTAGTGTATGACCTAAAAATTGATCATACGTAAGAGAAACAAAATGAGTTTTAAACACAATTAGAAACATGTGGCTGAGTAAATCTGCATTATTAGCGCTCCATTTTAGTGAATAACATTTAAATTCTGCATCTAAAGCTTAATGATCATAATTATCAGCCTCTGTTGCTACTT